GCATCTTTTACTGTCTCACCTGTTCTTGTTGATGCAAACAACATATGAGAATAAGTATCCACTGTGACATGAACATAAGCCAATTTTTCAAATTCAGGAATGTGGGTGACATCCATCTGCAATAAAGACAGAGGCTTCAACCCATGAGGATTGACCCCCACTTTAATGGATGATATACTTGAGGGCAATTCCCACAATTCTTAACAATTTGTCGAGCTTATTCTCTAATAATTCTCTAGTAATTTGAAACATCCTTTTAAAAACCAAAGCATTCTGGTGATGTAGTTTATGACTCTCCTCAGTTTTAGTCATATTTATAATACATCCCTTGGTTAATGTATCTGCTAAATGATTGCCCTCACGCAGAGGTCCTGACAGGGCAGTATGTCCCCTAATATGTCCTATGCAAGACCTCTCTTTTTGTTGCCTGATTAAATTTTGCAGTCCCTGCAATAATGGCAAGATATGAGAATGTCCTGATAATAGAGCAGTCTCAATAGCTGGAAAAAGTTTACCCACATATTTTGAGTCTGTATAAAGGTTAAATTTTTCTGAAACAGATCTAAATGCAAGCAAGACAGCTTTTATTTCTGATTGCTGTGCAGATATCTGAGTTCCTTCTTCAAGTAACGGAGATCTGCCAGAGATGTAAACTGTAGACCTTCCATTAGAGGAACTATCTGTAAAAATACAGACAGCAGCTTCCAAAGGCTGAGAAGAGGTTTTTGTAGGAAAAATAACTTTAGCTTCCTTAAAAAAATCTATAAGGGGATGCTTAGGATAAAGATAATTTGTCCTGTAAATCCTTGTAAGGCTATACCCCAGTTTTTATCTTCCTTTAAGAGACTTTCAAATTGTAGCTTATTATAAGGGATAATAATATCATCCATCTCTTTACCAAATAATTTCTTAGCTCTTTGTTTAGCTTTAATAATTAACATGAAGCAGAGATAAGGATAGGAGGCCAACATTTTTGACTGTACATGAGGAAGATGTATCCACTCTAAAATTCCTTCTTGCCATAAACACCCCATAGGAGTATAGGGTGTCCTGAAAATTATAAAAGACCATTTCTTTTCATATGTAAATTGTTTTAACTTTTTCTATCTAACTGTCTTTTTACCAATTCTAAGGCTCATAAAGCCTCAAAAGTAAGGACACAAGGAGATCTTGGGTCAGCATCTCCTTGTAATAAAGAATACAATGAACTTAATTCTCCTATAGTAATTTTCAAACAGGGTCTAATCCAGGTGATATTTCCTAACAATTTTTGAAAATCATTTAGTATCTGTAACTTATCCAACCTGAGATTTATTTTTTTGAGAACATATATAATCATTATGTATCCATTGTCCTAAATGACTTAATGGCTTATCTCTCTGAACTTTATCAGGGGCAATAACTAATCCAAAATAGGTCAGTTGTTCTATAGCACACTGTAACAATTTCTCCAGTACTGACAGTATGATGAGCCAATAGGATATCATCCATATAATGAATGATGTAAGCATCTGAAAATTGATCCCTAGCCTTCAAAAGAGGCTAATCCACAAATTTCTGGCACAAAGAAGGACTGTTCTTCATTTCTTGTGGCAAGACCCATTATTGAAATCTTCGATAGGGTCTCTTTAAATTTACTAATTGAATGCTAAAGGCAAATCTTTTACAATTATCTGGATGTAGTTTAATTGTAAAAAAAAATCTTGAAGATCAATAATTATAATATGCCATCCTTTGGGCACTGCCACAGGAGAAGGTAACCCTGGCTGCAGGGCCCCCGTGTCTACCATTGTAGCATTGACAGCTCTAAGATCTTGTAATAATCTCCATTTTCCTGACTTTTTCTTTATAACGAAGACGGGAGTATTCCAAAGACCATTGCTCTCTTCGATATGTCCTTTATCTAATTGTTCTTGCACTAACTGCTCAATGGCCTGTATACCTTGTATCATTTATTTTTTGACCTATATTATAACTTAAGCTTTTATATCTCAGACCTTATTCGAACTTGTGTATTTATATTATAAAAAACACCTTTTTTATGTCTTAAGGTATTTTTATTCTTATAGTTTAAGCTTATTTTTTATATCTTTCTATTTAATTATTTAGCAAGAAACATAGATGGTTGATTATTAAAGTAGTTATAGTACAGTGGGTTCCTTTAAACAAAGGAATAATAAAAAGTTACTTTGAAACTTGTTTGGTGAGCTATCCTCTATTGGGAATTTGATAACAAGACCAATTATTTTTAGACCTGGAAATTAAAAATGTAATCTAAATGACCCAAAAGTGTAATTTGAACAAATCCCTGGTGGTAAGAGGCATAGTATAGTTTTATGTACAGTGGGAAACTTAAACATTTTAAATACCAGGGGCCTGAGTCAGGAATTTTTTAAGTTATTTATCATATTTAGAATGTTTATAAATTTAGTTTTGAGTACATTAGAGAAGTTAATAATTTATATGATAATCAAGCATTAATTTATATCCTTATAATTATATTTAATAGCTCATAATTTGAGTAAAAGTTATTTGTAACAGTTTGTAGTTTAAACTAGTAACTTGTAGTAGCTGAAATAGTTCATTCTGCTATATCTAAATAAGGTCCATGTCTAGCTTCCCCTTTCCTCCACAGTTCACAACCCAAGCATTCATTAATTTTAGCTGTGTTTTATAGATTAATTAGAACATTATCAGAAAAGCAGTTATGCAGAACCCATAGCCCAGAGAGCTCATGATCTGTGAAGCATGTCTCCTTCGAGAAGGAGGCATAACACGGGCACTCTGCCAGGGACCTCCAGGGAGCTTAGTCCCGTGGGACACGTATCTCCCATCCGTTATTATTGACATAATTGTTCATGTCACACGGTCGACACTGGAGTTGGTGTGGCACTTACCATTAACGAAATTTTTTTTATTTGGCAATACAAGGACAAGCCAAAGGATGCTATCAAATGTAAAACCTGGTATCTCTAGATTGTGACAGATAGTATCAGTTTAAAACAATTTCAGAAAAGATTAAACTCAATGCAATGTGTAGCTACAGAGAAAAATGGTAGATTTAATAAGGAATGGTGAATGAAAGTCCAGATGTATTGCAATACTAAGAGAAAGGTAAAATTGAATATGACTCAGTGCTTATAAAATTTAAGCCAAATTGCCAGAATGTAATAAAAGCAGGCAAAGATTTCTTCAAAAGAAATTTATCATACAGAAAATGTACTTATATATTTTCTGATATCTAGTATTAACAGCAGTATGCATGAGCCCAAATCTGGTGGGAGCTCTTTGAAATTGATTTGCATTAGGGGAACTTGTGAGAATTGTAGGTAAGATAAATACCCGTGTCATTTATTTATAAATGAATTATAATATATACTTCATTGAAGTAGTAAATAAGTCTGAGAGGGGAGAATAAAAAGAAAAGAAAAGTCTGAGAAAGACGATTGGTGTTATAAAAATTATTAATTGATTAATCTACGGACTAATGTCTGAGAGAGTGCAAAGGGTCTAGGTACAAGTAGTCTAAATGATACCTTAGAAAAAACAGTGATGTAAGACCAAATAATATTGTATCACTCAAAGATAAGATTTTTTTCTATTTTCCCCATTCTCATCCTAATCTTTCTGCATCTTTCTGCTCTTTCTATATTCTTTATGGTAAGGAAAACTGTATTTTAATGTTCACCTTGGGAAAATTTCAGTTCCAGAAAAATTGAGATTGTTGCTCATCATGTCTGGCCACCTGACCTAGAAACACATGTCTATAGACCAAACTAGATTAGCAAGAACACTGGTAACATAATTCATTACTGCTACCAGATTTTAGTGATTAAGAGTAATAAATTTACATTTTTGACCTTGCTTAAATACTGTGTCTTTAATAATGAAATACAAGAAACATAGAGGTCATTGTATACACAGGGTATCATTCTACATCTTTAGGATTAAGCAGTAGACATAACAGAGAAAAACCTTGACTTTATTGAGTTTATATTCTGTACAAGAGATCATCAAAATGATGATGAAGGTGTTGATGATTATGATGATAATGAAATATAAGTAACTTAGTGAGCTAGATGCCAGATGCTAATGTGATAGGGCTATCAATGAAGCAACAATGCAGTAGAGAATAGTGACTTTGAAATGTTGTTTTTCTAGGATATTGTTGT